ATAATCTATCTATTTGTTTGTTTATTAAATTTCTATGCTGCCCATCTCCCCTACCAGATGTCTGTAATGAAGGTAGATCGTATCAATAGTTGTATAAATGTAGTAATTGTACAAATGTACTAATTCAGGAATATTCCTTAATTTAACTACCTATTCCATTTTCCAATCCTGTTAGAAGGTTTTTGATGCTTAAAATACATAGATTCTTGGATAAAGCAACAGGGAAGGGGAATATTAGAATCTGTTTTCCAGACAAATTTTCCAGACAAAGAGTATATCCTGTTTCAGATATAAAGACAGGTGACCATCTTCTGTTCTGCCTATTTAATTAGCACTTACAAATCTTGTATTAAAGGAATAACATTGTTTTAATTATAAAAAGTGGTAAGAAAATCATGGCCAAGCTTAATACACTACATGAATTTCTAACATGATTTTATGGAATGACCCAATGCAAAGTAAGCAAACCAAAATAATGGTCTCATTTCTGTCTAAACTACAATATCTCTTTGTGTTCCCTAACAATTTACAAACAGAAGAAAATCTTCCTTTCCCTCTGTCCTTAATTCCAAACCCTGGGGTTTGATGCAATAAAAATACCTTCCTATCCATCTGCAGGATTTCCTTCCATTTCTTGGTTCTTTCATTAATGAATTAATCAAGCATGAATAGTTTTTCCCTATACTAACTACTAGCTAATTAACAACTAATTATTAATCTTATTTACACTGATCATTCAGTAACTTAGCTTCAGGGCAAGAATTTAGGTTTAACAACAGCAAGAATTTAATGGGAGATTGGGAACAAAAATGTTGCATTGGGACCATAGATTGGCTCAATTCTGTAGACATGTGCAATGAAAGCTGCCTCAGCCCTTTAAAGATGATTTAAAGGGCTAAAGAATAGCTGTAAATCAAAAACTATTGACTAGAATCTTTTGGCATTACAGCCAATTTATATTTGAATATGTGAGGTTCCACAGTCATGCAGATGGATACAACTTTGCACAATAACAGTATATATTTTGGTTTACATTTACATTTTCTATTTCCAGTATTTCTTGAAGGTAAATATATATCAGTCTCTTTAAACAGAGATTTGGAGAAAAAAATATTTAATTACTTTATCTCAGAAGAATGTATTATTTGAGTCAGGATTATAGCTCAGATAAGTCTTCTTGTTCCAAACTTCAACCACCAATGAAATAATTTGCCTAAGTACACATCTAGATCACTTCATTCTCAAATAAAATGCTAACTTCTTTTAAATAGAATATGCTTACATGGTGTTTCAAGAATGGACAAAGAGTAGCATTATTAATGAAATTAACTGTATACATTTTGCTGTGGGATGGGAAATTGGCAGCTTTGTAAATAATATGGACAAATATCACTTTGATTCCCATCAGCAATATAAATATAAATACATACATACAAACATACATACATACACACATACATATCAGCAGAGGGAAAACATCCTCTTGTTATGTACATTTGTTTTACTAGCAAAGTCCTGTTCTATGGTGAAATAATTATATTGTTTATCTACTATAAGCTATCTTTTAGTTTCTTCATGCTCCTTAATTTCTTATTTCAGCAAATTTAACAATAAAATCACAGAATGTTAAAAAGATTAGCTGCTGAGGAATTGCAGAACTGTATTAGTATGGTATTCAAAAATCAGGAAGTCTGATAACACCTTTTTAGATTAATAATTATAATTCCCCCATAGACAAGCTCATCCCCTGTTATAAACAGAAGAACACTGACATCCCCTAAACTCTGCTGAAGATGTTACCTAACCTGGTAACGAAACATTCAGAAACCAACTCATTTGGAGAATGAACCTTCACCTCATACTATATCTTCTATCATGGACCCACATTATAATACCTCACCTAATAAAATACCCAGGAAATATTGATCTCTTCTATGTACAACTGTTGTTATCAGATCAGTATGAACTACTTTATTTCAATGTGGTAAAATTACGTTACACTGTATGCAAAATTAGGCACTCTAACTGCCCACTGATAATCCACCACTAATCATAATGTATTATTTGTCTTTTTTATTGTTTTTAATGCTTTTTTTGTAATGCTGATCTGTGACTATAATAAAGATTGGTTGGTTTAATTATAATGCTAAATTATAATTTATAATAAAGAGGTGAGGTGGCTCAGTGGCTTAAAGATGCTGGATTTGTCAGCTGGAGAAGCTGATGTTAATAGGTTCAATGTCTTGAAACCTCATCATGTAAAATGATGAAATAATGATATGTTATATCATATCATATATAAATAAATAAATAATGATAAATAGTTATGGAGGATTGATAATATACAGGCTCCTGGAGATGAAATTATTTTTCCTTGTAACTTCAATAGAAGTGTCTATTTTTGCATGTTCTAAGTTAAATTCACTAAAACATAAAACATGATGAAAACAGAAACTAATTTGCATATATAAATTATCAAAATAAAACTGTTCTATCTCCTGGATACAAGCATTATACACAAATCAATAATTTCTTACAATTTTCAATGAAATGCCTCACAAACAGACACTCCCCTACAACTGCACCCAACCCAGACAATTCTCATCTATAGATCACCAAAATGTTTTGACAGAGTGAGATTAGCCAGCTGTCTTTTAATTCAAGAATCAAATGACAGCAGGCTCTTAGTTCAATTATTGTTCATAAGAATGAAAACCTACATTGGATGGAATTATTAATTCTCTTCCATATATTACATATAAAATAATGAGCATGAACATGGTTTTAATAGTTCCTTAAAATTGTGTGAAATTAAGTAAAAAAAAACTAGATATATTGAATGTGTACATTTTTTAAAATCACAGTTTCCATAGCCTTAACTCTAACATTAACATTTGCTCTGAAGAAGAACATACATAAATAACCAATTTAACCTTGAATAATGGCCCTTCAAGATTGGGCCATATGGTTGCAGAGATGAGAAGCAAGGCTAATTTCCTGCAGACTCCACCTTTTATTTTTCTCTACCTGGGAGCAGCCCATTCTGAGATGCAAAAGAGATGAAAAACAAGAGTTTTCAACTTCAACAGCTCTTCAGAGAAGCAGTCACATTTGCTATCTCCAACGCTTTAAAATTTTCTGTTCCAGATAGTCATTATAAGACATGCTATTGCTGTAATTTTAAGAACAGGTGTCTGGATTTCCCTTGTCTTTCTCCTTTATTTTCTCTTGGCTCAAATAAGCCACAGTTAAGCCCTGACTCATTTTTACCATTCCTGGGTAAAATGTTACAGAGGGCTTTTTTAAACTATACAGAAGGGGGACAAAACTATTAATTACAATATTAAAAGAAAATAAAAAATGTCATGTTTTTTGCAATGATACTTATAACCAGATGTTAACATTTTATATTTTTATAGTACTACTAAACTCATTTCAAAAACGTAACTATTGCTACTATAATTCAGATATAAGCTTCATCAAATAGATGAGCCTATTTTGCTTCCTGTCACTGTTTTTTTTCTTTAAATCCCATATTTCTTTCATGTGGTTAATAATGACAATTTGCAAATTTAATCATGCTTATCAACAAATAAACCAAATGCAATGGGTGGTTTGCAATTGCCAACTTTTATTGCCTGGTCCCAACTAATTCAAACAATGTTTGTTAAAAAATAATATATTACTAAATAATAATAATCTGTTCTTGATGTGTGTGCTCCAATATGGGAAGAGAGGTGAACAACTTTTCTCCTTTCCTAGCCACAGGATTCTAGTTCAATCACATGAAAAATTAAGTTCTTCTGTACAATCATACTGTGAACATGGAGATGGCTTTTCACCAATGTACCTAGGAAAGGAGGAACATTATTCCCAAATTCTGAATTGAACATGCAAAGTTGATTCCTGGGTACTTTTATTGTGTTTGTCTATCACAAATAATAGGCAAAATACAAGGAAATTGTTTAATAGGGTGGAGTTTTGATTTTTCTTCACATAATTGATATACTGGGAGGTTCTTTGACTAGTTTTATGGCAATACGTGATATGGAAATCAATTGGACAAGAAATACAGGCAATTAGAATCAAGTTGCCAAATAAATTTCCAATTTGATAATGAAAATTATTGTTTTTGACATGCTAAATTTTTTAAGTTGCTTAGACTGAATCACTCCGACTGACAGACACGTTCATGTTGGAAATGGTATAAAGACAATTAAATGACTGTCAGTTCTATCATTCAGAACATGATTTCTACTATCTACCTTTGATACTATGACATTTATTTTCCAAAGATGTCTTTGTTGATCTAGTACATATTAGCATACATTCCCTTTTTATATTTATATTTGTTTTTATATTGTCTATCAGATGGCACTCCAAACAATTTGTAATAAAAATAAAAATATCAAAACCATCATGAAAGCTTGTTAAACATTTAATTAAATAGGTCAACAATTAAAAGAGAAGAAACCAGCAGAACAAATTAATCTCTGCTAAATGTCAAGAGTTTTGAGACACATTCTCATTGGAATGAATTTTTTGATCTCTAGTTACTAATAAAAAATAATCTGGTAATAAATAGTGTCAAAGAAATCACTGTGCTATCTTAAGAAACAATTCACTTTACAGAGCAGACAGCCTCTAGACACAATCATTGAGCACATTGACAATAGTTCATGTATATTTGGTGTCATTTGTTCCCAAGGTTTTAAGTTGTAGAGAATTCCCGCTGCTGTAATTTGAATTTTCTGTAATTTTGAGTTGTCCTCCTCATTACCACCACTTATAGTATCAAATAAAGAATTTTCTCCACCATTCATAGTGAGTTAGATTGCAATCAAAGATACCTAAGTAAGAGAATTATGGCTATGAAAGATTGAAAATGTATTAATGATGTTTTATTCTGAAGCAATTTGATCTTTTACTTTCTGTTGCTTTTTCACACCTAATTGATCACTTATTTTACCCAAAGGATTGCAAGAAGCAAGAAAACTCACCGTGGTTGTCTTTATTCTCCCACCGGGTTGCGTACAGGTCCAGCCTGATCTATTGATTAGCAAATCACAGCCTTCTCCTTCTAAACATGGAAGCATTTCACACCATTGTTTTGTTTTAATAATGCGTGCTGTTCAGAAGAGAGGAAAAAAGAGACAAAAATCAGCTTGCATTTCATGCATTTTTTTCTCTCCAGTGTATATTTTGATGATGATTCAGTCATTGCATTTGCATGTATGAAGCTTTGCCTTCCCTCTTCTTCACTATCATGGCTCTAGGGAGAAAGAAGAAGCACTGTGGCCAAATGGTAATATCTGGTTTAATTATAATACTGAAATTGTGCATTATGATTTGAAGTTGTTTTTTTTTTTTTTTTTTTTTACTTTCTATGTAGCATCTGGAATTCATGTACTTCTTGCCTACCCATCTCCAGACCAGAGGCGATTAGAAGCTTCTGTGTTTGGGTTACTTGATGCTTGCCTGGCCTCTAATCTCAGTACTGTAATAAGTCATACAATACTGAGATTAGAGGCCAGGCAAGCATCAAGTAACCCAAACACAGAAGCTTCTAATCGCCTCTGGTCTGGAGATGGGTAGGCAAGAAGTACATGAATTCCAGATGCTACACAGAAAGTGCTCTTTATGACTATTCCTTCAAGTAAAAAAAAAAAAAAAAAGCGTATAAGATTACTCAGTGCCAGTCTTTGAAGTAAGATAACAGGAATCTTGTGATCATACAATCAAATCCTTCTGCTTCATGTACAAGTGTTTATACACATAGAAAAGGGGAGAGTTTTGACTGTACTGTAACAACTGCCACCCTGAGTATCTTGACATACACATAGACACACTCGATGCTGCTGGATAAGCAATTGTGCTGGGAGATGACATATATAAATGTTGATGCTTTACCTTAATGCAAAGGTAAGTAACTTATATGTGCCAGTAATAAAGAGCTTTAGCAATTTGATTTTTGCAGGTATATATCCCGATTCTTATGTACATTAATCTTTTACTTTTCAATAGATAAAGCTGAATTTCTCTCCCTATTGTGATCTTTTATCAACTACTGAATATAGCTCTTTCATTTTTTAAAAAACAAAAACAAACCTTCCTTTTCCTGCTCTTTCTGTTGAGTATGTTTATATTAACATTATCGCTGCATGGGATCTGTATCACTGCAAGAGAGGGACTGTAACTGAGTAGATTGTAATTGAAAATATTAACACAGTCCTATGATTGAGAATTAACCACAGGGCTTTCCTCTCAATTCTGTTTTCGAGAATATAGATTTCAGAGGACCTGTTAGAATGTAACAAGAGAATAAGTATATGGTAACTTGTGTTAAATTATCAGAACTCCTAATGCTTTCAAAACAGGAAGACCTTTTGTTTTCACAGAGAGCAAAAGTTGTACAATCTCATAATAATAAAACAAACAAGAGCAGCAATAGCAGAAAAAGTACCCAGCAAGTTTTCAGCTTTTTTTTTTTTTGACTAAGAAACAAAATGTTAATTTTGTTTGTTTTTTGTTCTGACTTTGTAGGAGATTATCTGCAGTACAGAAAATTGTAATGGCTCTAAGCTAAAGAGACTTGGGGCTATAGTTCTGTGAAAGAGACAGACATTTTAAAGAAGTGTCATGAGTTCAAAAAGTCTTAGTTATTAAAAGCAGTTATTTGAAGTTCAGATAATCTGAAAGTCAAATTAGAACTCTAAGTTCTAAAACACTATAAAACTAAAAACGGCTTTCAAAATGCAATCAGAATTACAAACCCTTAGTGATTATTTTATCTCAATAAGTTCTCTTCACTTTTCTTATGCACAATGTGTTGTTTCAAATAACAGAATAATAGAATAACAGAGACCTTGGAAGTCTTCTAGCCCAACCCCCTGCTCAAGCAGGAGACCCTATTCCATTTTAGACAAATGTCCAATCTCTTCTGAAAAAACCTTCACTGATGGAAGACCCACAACTTCTGGAAACCAGCTGCTACACTGGTTAATTGTTCTCATTGACAGGAAATGTCTCCTTAATTCTAGGTTGGATCTTTGATAAGCTTCCATATGTTACTTCTTATCCTGTTCTCAGCTATTTTGGAGAATAGATTGGTCCCCTCTTCTCTGTGATAGCCCTCAAATATTGGAAGATTGCTATTTTAACACCACTAGTCCTTCTCTTTGTCAGACTGGACATTCTTGTAACTGTTCAGCATATGCTTTAGTGTCCAGTCAATAGAAAACAATGGGCTCATATTTCAGTAATACTCCTAAATAATCTTATTTTAAATAACAGATTTCATTTTTTTCCCACTGATAACTAGAGGTAATAATTAGGAATTAACCTTGAACAATTAACCTCAACTCCTAAAGAATGCCCTCTATAAGCTTTCTAACAAACACAGATTTATATCAAATAGAGAACAATCATCTAACTGGCATATAGGTTAAAGTATAGGTCCCAGATTACGGTTAAAATATGAATATAAATATATAAACATAAAAGACAGGAAGAATTAAAGAAAAAAAAACCACAAGTTATAATTCTCCTGTAACTGAAATAGAAAAAAAAAGAGAAAAAATTGCAGGAGAATAATCTAAGTATGCTAGCAAAGCATAGTTTAACCAGTAACTCCTTTTTTTTAGAGGGATGGTTCCAGATGGAAGTAGAGCTGCTAGCATAAACCTCATTCACATGGTCAGGATTCTCCAGGAAGAAAAAGAAAATATATTAAAAACCTTGTCTTGAGATCAATAGGGGTTAAATCCCAGTTAAATGGATATAGATTTGCTGAGTAAATCAGAAGAGCACATTGTAGGAAAAGGTCTATATCTCTATATAAATGTCTATCAGTAACTCTGTTATTTGTCAATGAATGTCTATGTTACCTATGAATTTTAAAGAATTTAAAGAAGATGAAACTAATGAAAATACAAGAAATTACTAGTGCCTTCCCATCATACAAAAAGTGCACTTGGATTTATAATCCTATCCTGGGATATTGCACACCTCCAAATATGCTATTATGCAACACAATATGGTTTGGAAAATATATTTTCAGCTACAAAGTACTTTTCTTCAATAGAACAGATTTCCCATAAGTCTTATAGTATTTTGTTACACATAAAGCCTTAGTGAAGAACAGTTCCAGATATTGTTTTACAAAGCTTTTTTTTGGGGGGGAGGGGATTCTAGAAAATAAATCACTATTTTATCCGACTATTTAAAAACAAAGGACTTTAAAGCTTGTTGTTGTTGTTGTTAATTGCGAAGTCGTGTCCGACCCATCGCGACCCCATGGACAACGTTCCTCCAGGTCTTCCTGCCCTCTACCATCTTCTGGAGTCCATTTAAGTTCACACCTACTGCTTCAGTGACTCCATCCAGCCATCTCATTCTCTGTCGTCCCCTTCTTCTATTGCCCTCAATCTTTCCCAGCATTAGGCCCTTCTCTAGTGAGTCCTTCCTTCTCATTAGGTGGCCAAAGTATTTGAGTTTCAACTTCAGGATCTGGACTTCTAAAGAGCAGTCGGGGTTGATCTTTTCTAGGACTGACTGATTTGAACGCCTTGCAATCCAAGGGACTCGCAGGAGTCTTCTCCAACATCATAGTTCAAAGGCCTCAATTCTTTGGCGCTCAGCCTTTCTTATGGTCCAACTTTCACAGCCATACATTGCAACTGGGAAAACCATGGTCTTGACTATACGCACTTTTGTTGGCAGGGTGATGTCTCTGCTTTTTAGTATGCTGTCTAGATTTGCCATAGCTTTCCTCCCCAAGAGCAAGCGTCTTTTAATTTCTTGGCTGCAGACCCCATCTGAGGAGATTTTTGGTAGCCCAGAAAAATAAAGTCTGTCACTACCTCCATTTCTTCCCCATCTATTTGCCAGGAATTGAGAGGGCTAGATGCCATGATTTTGGTTTTCTTAATGTTGAGTTTCAAGCTAACTTTTGCATTCTCCTTCTTCACCCGCATTAAGAGGCTCTTTAGTTCCTCTTAAAGCTTGAAGAGACCTAAATGGACTAGTCCAAGTCTTGCCAATACTTACCTCTAATATATGCCTGATAATTGATTGTCTAGCTCAGGGGTAGGCAAGCTTGGCTCTTTTATGACTCGTGGACTTCAACTCCCAGAATTTCTGAGCCAGCTATGCTGGCTCCGGAATTCTGGGAGTTGAAGTCCACGAGTCATAAAAAAGCCTAGGTTGCCTACCCCTGGTCTAGCTTCTGACTTTTAATGAGAGATGATAGTAGGCTCCAATGTTACCATGTACAAACAAGTACGCATGCATGCATGTAGCAATAGTAACAGCACTTAGACTTATATACTACTTCATAGTGCTTTACAGCCCTCTCCAAGCAAAACACACTGTATTCCTTGGAGGTTATAAATTAAATATAATAACTCATATAGCAATAGCTATTGCTATTTATATAAAATAAATATAATAACTCATATAGCAACAGCAATAGCTCTTAGACTTATATACCGCTTCACAGTGTTTTACAGCCCTCTCTGAGCAGTTTACAGAGTCAGCATATTGCCCGCAACAATCTGGGTCCTCATTTTACCTATCTCAGAAGGATGGAAGGCCGAGTCAACCTTGAGCCGGTCAGAATCAAACTCCTAGACTGAACAGTGAGTTAGCTGCAGTACTGCATTCTAACCACTGCGCCACCATGTCATACACATAGATGTGTGTGTGTGTGTGTGTATTTGTACATGTACATGTATATATATTGACAGTGCATATTGCAAATTTTTGCAGTGAGATTATAAATGCAAAAATGCATCTGTACAAAATTCTCCTGAATGAAGAATAATTACCATTCTACCACCTTGTTTTGAATGAGCAATTCAATCAAAAATCAATTGACCATCTAGTTTGGATTATCTAGGTGACATATGTAGGGTGAATGGGATTTTGAAACTGTACAGCCCCAAAATTGTAGAAATTCTAGTTTTCAGGGAAATAACAAATAAGTGACAGGTAGCTTCAGGGTACTTAGTTTTTGCTGTCTAACAAGGGATGTTAATTGAATGCTTGCCTCTGGAGAAAAATCTTTGTCAGGACTCACTGTGCTCCGTTTCTATGTCCTGCTGTTCCACTCTGCTGTATTCAATTAGT